GCCACTGAAGCACACACAGGTTAAAGGAATTTGCCTGAAGTCACACAGGAAATCTTTGGCAAAGCTGGGAACCTTGCTAGTCTCAAGCCTGGTCTACACTTAAGGATTCAATGGTATAAATATACCACCGGCTGAACGGTTGTTCCCAGGAAGGAGGAGCTTGGGCTTGCGCAGCAGTGGTGTTTTTTCTGTGAGAAATTGCAAAATTAAATGTTCGATGTTTTTAGAAGGAATTTTTCTAGAATAAAGTCTTTCCACTACTATTAGTAATTAACAGGTATATGGAACTACTCAGATTAAGCATCTGGAGAGAAAACAGAATGCCAGTGTTTACAAGGACTATATTTAAAAATAAACTAAAGGCATCGCCTGATTTAGGCTATTTTTTTCATTGTAGTATCAGTATCAGTGAATAAAAGACTGATAAATAGTCCTAAATTCACTTCTGATTTCTTTTGTGTTTTAAATTTGAAATTAGCACAGAAAAGCCTTTTGCCAGCTTTTAATACAGTGAAATAAATGGGTCGACTCTAAATAAGTAAATAAATACATTTGAAAACTACTACACAGGAGTCATCAAGTCAATAAAGCACTTAAGATTGTTAAAATGAAACATTGTTTTTAAAGGCTGTTTTGAACTTTTACGTATCTTCTTCCTTAAGTTCTCATAGGATATGAAGGTTATTTTGAGTTACATTTTCTTTACACTAAACAGTTTCCTTAGGAGCATGATGCTTCTGACGCAGAAACTGTTTAGTGAAACTGAGTAAGTAAACAAGGGCCTGCTTTCACCCTGTGCTAATCAAACCCTTCGGCGTTTTAGAGATAGTCATATCAGAGTGGGTAAGTAGCTACAAAATTTATCAGTTGGTAGTTGCTGGTTGGATAATTTTCAAAATTATCAACATCATCAATGTTTTCCTTATAAAAGTATGTCTGTCTCCCTGCCAAGTGGATAACTGAGCTAACAGGTTTTTTGTATGTTTTTATTCTTCATTTCTCTAGCCTCCAAAACTCTTATAAATAGTATGCTACGGGACCCTTCTCAGATTCCAGATGGAGTTCTAGCAAATCAAGTCTATCAGGTATTAATCACAGTTGTCTTTTTTTTTTTTTTTTTTTCCTTTGGCAATGCTGTTATCTGCCTAGCAGAGTAAAAGATTTTAAACCTCATTTAATTACTGGCATAGTGAACTATCAGTGAGGTCAGGGTGCACCATAAATGGCAATGTGATATTTGTGAGAGGAGCATTTCACTTTTTAATAGCTTGCTTTTATAGTGAATAAAAGCATGCAGGTTTTGTTTTCTGTGATTAAATCTGAACAGCATCTGATAGCTTTTTTGAAGAAAAGTAATTACTGTTTTTAAGATACTGTTTAACTATAATGGTTTTGTAGTTGCCCATCACTATACTACTTTTCTTATTTGTCTGCAGTGTACTGTGAATGACTGTTGTTATGGACCACTGGTGGACTGCATCAAACAGTATCCTTTCACATAAAATTTTAGGTGCACAATTGACGAGCTTAGACTGTGTGGAAGAGATGTGTCTAGCTTTAACCTGACATAAAGTTCTGCTTCACAAAACACGTTTCATACTCCTCTGTTTTACATTCAATCAGCTAGAGGGTCACTGCAGAGCTTTCTCTTATACTGTTTAACAAAAATCAGATGGACCACGGGAAGTTGTCAGTTTGGTGGCTACACATTCATATGGCTGATTGAATGTCTTTGGTTTTGATTAGTTGAAATGCATGTCTGGTTTTCTATTAAGACTAGTTGACCATGCTTTGAGCGGTGGAGTTGGACTAGATGATCTCTGGAGATACCTTCCAATCTTAACTATTCTGTGATTAAACTAGTAAGTTGCATAGATAGTGTTCAACATTATGCCATTGCTTTGTTATAAATGTGAGTTTTAGTTGGAATGTTTTCAAGTGCAATTCAGGTGTGATTGACTGGTTAGTATTTTTAAACTCGTATCTGACATTCCAGTGCAGTTCTTTTACTTGCTCTTCTTAAAGGGAATGGAATGCAGAAAAAAACCCTGTGTAGCTTGAATTTTAGGGGATTTTTGGGGGGGGAGTGTTGAAATGGTTAATTAGAGATCCTCAGTATCCAGTGAGAATACTGGCAGAACTCCACGCAGTACTGAGTATTCCAGACTAAGATTATAATTTTTTAGGAATGATCCCTGCGACCCCAAATCTGTTTTAATGAAGTCCTGAATGAGTAGCTCTTCTGTTTCAGTCGATCTCAAAGTCATGGCCTGCTATCACTGAGCAGGCTAGCAAGGCAATTCCCTCCCAAGTCCTAGAGAAACCTTGCATCAGTCTATGAGTACAGTTTGGGGGAAGGTCTTGGTTTCACTGCACAGTTGCAAGATAGAAAAACTACAGTGATGTTCAGTTATGCATGAAAAACAACACTTCTTGTAGTTTTGATACATGTGGTGGTCACCCCTTGAAAATGCTTCTTTCCACTAGAAATACCTGCCTGTGTCTACTACAGACTCAGTCCTGCTGCCATTAACTTTAACAGCAGCAGGATAGAGCTTTTATTGTATTTGTATTTTGTGGTTGTAATCGTAATTTTAAGTATTGAGACTCTCTTCAACATTAAACACAGCTCTCTGAAAGTGGATTAATCTGATAAGTTACACTTTTTAAAGGGTTGTTGATCACTAATTTTTGTATCCAGAATTTTAAGATTAATGTTTTGTTGATGAACAATCTGGCTATAGTCTTTTGAAAGTGTCATGTTTAACAGTAATAATAACACGTACGTAGAATTATGAACACTTTTTAAGAATAGCTTGCCTGCAGTTTAAAAAGGTCTTTTCTGTCCTGCTCAGATTGTGACTCAAGTGAAGTTATTGAATACGCAGTGACATCAATAAGAATAATGAGGAGTTTTTCAATTCCATTTTGGTGCAGAAAAGTTTAATACTAAGCTGTGCGAGTGCATTATCTGCAAGTATGTTGCTGAATTAGATGTTAATTTTGAGGTGCATAAAATAGTTAAAAATCAATTTAAAGTTAAGGTTTTAAAAGCATAATGTCTTTTGAAGGATTGCATATTGATTTTAAATATAACTATCTAATTGTATATGCATGGACTAAAGTATGAAGTCAACCTCTTTGTAAATGCCAAGAGGCTATTTTTCAGTAATAGTTCAGATGCTTACGGGAAACTAGGCTGCTAGATTGCATGAGTAGAAAATGGCTTGTGAGGTTATTTACAAGTTTTGCCCCATGGTCATTGCCATACATCAATAACAGGTATTATTATAGACTAAGTCTAAGTGTTTCTGCTTATGGTGCATTATAAATTCTGTTCGCAGTATTTTTCTTACATTTTTGCTGTTCTTCATTTGCCCCTTTTATTCTGTAACTGCTAGTAGAGTTTAACACAATATATAGTTTCAATTGCTAAAAACTGTACATATATATATATGAAAAGATTCCATACGATTAGGTTTTTTGCTGTTCAGCATAAATTAAGTAATTAACTCTAATGTAGGGTGATCTGTAGTTTAACTAGTCAGATGTTATTCTAAACAGAATTAGGAACTTATCTGTTTTTAATATAAGATCCTTTATCATGATGTTCCATAAGATTATTCTTAAAAGCTTCCAGAATAGAACTTTGACCTCTGGGAGGATACATTAAAAATATTTGATGTGGTGTCTTTTTTACATATTGCTAAGAATAGCACATTGGATCAACAGGCAGTCAGTGAAGTGAAAGGGACTTCACTATAAAATATTATTTCATCCTTTTCTGACATAAGTTCATGATTCTGAAAAATCAATTAAAAGGATGTTTTGTTACAGTAAGATGTTTCAGTGAATGTAGTGCCTATTACTTTCAGAATATAAAGAAAAAAACAGTTTGTTTCATTCTTTGCTGAATTAGAGTGAGCAACTTAAAAAGTATTTAATGACATGTTTTAGCTCACACTTTCTTTTAAATTTGGAGGGGATATAAAGCAAAAATGGAAGTATTACCCTTATTTATACTGAATGAATATGAGCTAATGGGTCTTAATTTTGCAAAATGTGTGCTGATGGTCTAGTAGTCTGATTTTCACGAAGTGCTAAACGCCTCTGAAAATCCCTATAAGGAATTTCAAAACTTAGAGTTCAAATCACTGATCACTTCTGAAGTGCAGGTGAAGGCCAATACATTTTATCAAGAATTACTTTACCTGTGATGTTTCTCTGAAGGTGGTTCTTTTCCAAAGTAGTCTTCCATTTCTTAACCTAAAGCTATCAGCGCTATTGGGCATGAGCATGAAGTCTTGCTGCGAGAAATGCTTTTGGAAAAGAATCTGTCTTTCATAGGTAAGAATCTGTCGTAGAGACCAGCCAGTGAATCTTTAACTTCAAAGATTTCAGTGACTGTTTACTTAAGAAAAAAGTAGGCCTCAACGCTCTTCGTATTAGGTAGTAGAGGAAGAGTAAAAAATGATTGATGCTGTACATGTTATCTTTTATTGATTTAGAACTGAGCAGGAACTCAGTTACCTAATACCCTATATATACAGCACATGCACAGTCTTGCAATTAATATTTTATGGAATAAGTAGCTGAAAAAAATGCTTTAATATCTGCTGCAGTATTACTTTTGGTGTCATGAGATATTAGCCATAATCTAGGCCTTATGAGACTTAGGAGGAAGCATAAGAAATATTAGCTTCAAAATGCTTTATGTATTAAAGAACTGCTAGAGGATTCACTCATTTAGCTTTCTGTGCAGTTTCTGCTGAATTTTTGCCCCCTGTCTCCCAACCAATGCAAGCGCTCTTTTTACAATCCCTATATTTAAAGTTAGTTTAAGGATTAATTAGGAAGTTATTTTCATTTTTTTCTTTCAGCCTGCATTACTTTTCTCGTATATGAGTGCCATTAAAACAATGATTAGTGTTTAAAGCATCATTTCTCTAATTGTGATAATAAACTTAACAATGACTTCTTTAATCTTGGATTCCTTCTGTGATAAGACAATAACGAACTGCTGTCTTTTGTTAATGGTTCAGTGTTGTACTAAATGTGTGTGATCAGGGAATTTTGCTGGTTGTAGCAGAAACTATGATCACTCCTAAAGATATATTCAGGTTAAAATTCTTGAAACCTTAAAGAAATTTACGAAATTAGAAAGAGTATTAAGGTTTTTAAAAGATTTGTCCATATGACTAAGGAACAGCGTTAGTGTGCTCTTTTATTTGGGAGAAAAAAATTAAAAAAAACCACCCAGGAATAACTATTGCATACAAACTTGCAAATGATACTGTGAAAATGCGAGGAGGTAGTTTTCCTACTTGGCTATAAGAGCAAAGTTACAAGTAAGAGGCTTAAGCTGTAATTGCAGAGATGATGTTGTGTTAAAATACTAAACAGTTCTAGGAACAATAAGTATAAAACAAGCTGCCAGGGAAGGTTATGGAATCACCTTCGATGAAAAATTCAAGGCTAGACTTGACACTCATCCATCAAAGCTGGTAATGAAATCAATCCTGTCACGATACAAGGGAATGGACTAGATGGCTCACTAATGGATCCTCAACCCAACGATTATCATTTTATTTGGCTTGTGCAAGCTTGTATAGTACACAAATCAGATTTAAATTTTAATGTTTCATGACCTTGGATAAGCATCAATTTTGTCTTTAGAAATAAGCTCGAAGGAATCTGTGCTGTCAAATCAAAATATCTAGAATGGGTTAACTCATTAGAATACAAAGATATAAATGAGATAGCTTAATTTATTGTTTACATGTTATGTACACTGAAGTATTGTTTAGTCACAATTTAAGATATGTTAAGTGGTTGTATTTATTATTTCTGTGCATTGCAGATGTTTTTAAGGTTCTAGATGTGATTTTTTTTGTTGTTATTAAAAAAAAAAAGCTCTTCCTGGGTATCTGCAAGAAGAACCCTACTGAACCCCTCACAACAAAATCTTTCCTTTCTGAAAAATTAGTTCCAAAACTGCCTGAAGAAAACCTCGGGAAAACAGAAGAGATGACACCATTTTCTGTAGGCAAACAAATTCAGGCTTTGTTAGGCTATGAGGAAGACTACATTCCAGTTTTAAAGATGGCTTAAGACTTAGATGGTTGTACTCACAATTCCATTACTTTTTAACGTGTGTTAAAAAACAGAATTCTTGATGTTTCCATGTTAGTATACTATTCCAGTATACTATTCTTCAAGAATAGTAAGGTTTTTTGTATCATCTGTGTTCACCTGGGCAACAGAGAGTCATTACAGGAGAAGAAAGCACAGTTAAAGGACACAGTGAATGTAAATTGCCCCAGCGTAGTACTGAAGCATGAAGCAGTTTTTCATGTCTGGGATGTAATTTGTGTGTTCTAGAGCAGTTAGCTTTCAAAGCCTACAGATCAGATTCACCCAGAAATTGATTGGAAACCTATACAAACTAATGGTGTTTGCATTTTATTAATCCATTGTTCATGAGAAGCACATTCATATACCACATCTTCTCTTCAGCAAAAACACAGCTCTCAAGTCTTTATCACTTTGCCTGGAGATTAAAGTGATCAGTGGAAGCATTCTCTCAAAACAGGCTAACAGCTTCACTTGCAATACTGAAATGCCAGGAAATTCTAGGTTCTGTATCGGATCTTCATTTTTTGGTATCTTTGCCATGAATGTATTAGGAAATCTTTGAGCTATAATGGGAAGGTACTGACCTTCGTCTGGAATCTTACCCTCCTTTGGTTCCCACCATGATATCCCTCAGTAGCAGTCTGGATATAAATCATGAAATCTTAGCGGCATTTTCTGCTGTAATCTTAAATTTGCAATTGCTGTTGCTGTTCATTCATGCACCAACAGAAGAATATTTGGTTTCTTTGTTATATCCAGAGGCTAGTATAAGAACAATGATGTGTTAAATGGTTATGATTGAGTGTGAAGTTATGGTAAAGATGAAGCTGCAGTTTCGTTGGAAATATAAATTAATGGAGAATCTATAGATAGACTGCTTCTTAGGGCTGTTTCAATGTAATTTTCAAATCTGAGGATGCATAGATGTAACTGTCAAAGCTGCTGTGGGCAGCAGTTGTTAGGTTATTCTCTGAATCCATGCAAGAGCTAAAAGGTCTTTTAAGGTGCAGAATGCTACCTTTGCAGCTTCTGTACCAATCTGAAACATACTTGATCCAAAAAGCAAGAATTTATTTTCTTTTGGTGAGGTCTTGGTTTTAAAAAAAAAAAAAGTTTATGGTGATTGTGGGGAGTTTGTGTAATATTTTTTTTTTCCCTGAAGTTATAAAGCTTCCAAATACTTGAAGAAATGGTAATGTATAATTATGTTCCTGCACATGATAGACAACTCACATCAATAATAAACGTGTTTTTTAACATATTTTCCAATGTTTATCACAATACAAAATGTTAGGAGAAACCAAGTGAAAACATTCAGGAACAGATTTAAAAGAAAAAAACATGTTCCTTTTCAAGCCATGCATTAGTATCAAATGGTTTTAAAAGTAATCATGAATCCTTGAAAGAAGAGTCTGCTGAAGAATATTAAAAGTAATGCTGATGCAAACTCCAATTCAGAGACCTGCCAAGTTGACCTATCAGGAAATGTTTTTACATCAGTCCTGGTTTTCATTGGGTTTTTTTAAGGTACATTTCCCTGAATTTGTGATACTAGCATTTGTTAGATGTGAAAGAAAAGACTGAGCTTTCTATTGCTGTATTGTGTTCTTAAATAATGAAAATTTCAGCTGGGACATCCTGTTGTCTTTTCTAGACTGTTTTAAACCATTACGAGCAGGTTGCATTTAAATAGAGTTGGATAAAACTGGATTTTATTTTTTTTTATCAAGATTAAAAGACTATGTAGAACATTAATTCATTTTTATATTATGGCATAAAACTCTATTCATAAGTTCTGTTAAATTAGGACCTTGTTATTCTTAACATCCTTTATCCATATACCTGGTAATCTAAGTTTGAAAAAATAGCCAACAATCAAGTCTGTCTCCAAATCCTAGAAAAGTTTAGTAGCTGATTGGGTGATGTGGTGGAAGTGTTGCACTGCAAAAACTTGTATTTACAACGTAGTGTCCTTACACTGAAGAAATACTCTCATATTTCAAAAGAAATCCTACAGCTATCAAAAAGAATTAACAGCTATTGCAGTTTACACTTAAGTGAATGTACAACTTGCCAAAATGACTCCTGTCCCACTTTCAGTATGAGTTCACGATACAAGAGAAATACTTCAGGCTTATATTCTTCAATGAGAAAAAGGAGGGAAGTTTGCTTTAGGCACTTTGAAAATATTTTGATTTCTAAGAGTGTATGATTTTCTTGTCATTAAAATGTTACTTGGACTCAAACTGCTGACCTTTCAGGATATGCACAAAGTATTCTAAACCTGAGTTCTGAACATTGGCCATGAAACTACTGTCCTAACCTGATAAATGGATTGGAAATAAGCTACCCAACAGTGAGAATGGACCATTAATTTTAATCAAAGGTGATGTAGAAAGGCGAATGGGATGCATGACAATGTCAACAGCCCAGTAGGTGTTAAGGGGCTACACAGCCTTACTTGTTACTAGGTAGTGCCATTAGTTGAGCTTGGGTGAAGACAGAAAGCCATGCCTGGAATTGAATGACCAGGTCACTCCAAATTCTAATGGAGAAATGGTGTTTCAGAAATACCAATGTAATGGTATCGGAAATCAAGGACAATAGTTTAGAAAATATTAAGGGCTTGCTTGGGCTTGCCTTTTCTTTTTTTTCTTTTTTCTTTTTTTTTTTTTAAGGAATCGTCTTTTGTCCTTTGTGGTTTTAGCTTCCTCACTCATTATTGTGTCTTGAAATATTCAGCTCTAATATTTGTAAGCAATAGAGTTGTATAGTTCGTGTTAACAGAATTTCTAAATCTTTGTATGTTCTGAAATTGGATAAATTCTATTGAATGCAGGATGCAAGAGAAACTAAAATTGTGGCTTCTCTCTCCTTTAATAAATTTCTGAAAGGGAAGGATTTTCTTGTTCTTTTTTTAACAACTTTATGCTGACATTAAAATAAAACCAAAAGGCGGCTACTGTATATCCACATTTGTGGAGTTGGTGGGATTAATCTTAACAGCTTCCTAATGTGAGGAGACTCTTCTTTCAATCAGTGAATATACCTCTTTATTTTGAATATTTGGGGGTTATAAAATACTGTATGACAGCTTGAATTAATGATGTTTATAATGAAGACATAAAAATGCAAGGATGACAAAGAAGCATTTTTATATCCATGCTTCAGGTTTTCTACGAAGGTTCATTTAATCCGACACAGCATTGCATGCATAAGAAAGATATGTATGACTGCATTAGTAATTCTTGCACTCTTATTTAAAATAAAATTAATTATACTGCTGTCTACTTCATAGAATAGTTTTATAAACAATAGTTCTCATTCTCTATGTACAGCTGAAGATCAGCTTCGTGCAAAGGGTTATGACAAAACACCAGACTTTATTTTAGAAGTGCCAGTAGGTAAGTCTTTTAAACGAATTTTTATTGTTTTATTTTGTGTAGAAGTGTTCGTGCTAAAGTATTATGGCTACTTAAGTGAAGTGTATTATAGGATACTGCAAATCAGTCTCTCTTTTCAGTAGTTACCCAGTAATTTTAAGAACTTCTAATTTGGGGTCTAAGAGGTTTGATCACAAGTAGTGTTACCCGATGTTTCCTCTTTGGTTTTTGCATGTTTTTGTCTTGTTATCACAAAAAGAAAAACAAGCAACAATAAGAACCACCAAATCCCTACTCTCTCTAACCTGATCTGCCCACTGTCTTTATGAGCTGAACTCTGAAATACCTCTAATTGTCTTAAACTTCTAGACCCGATCAGTCCAAAGTGGTCTTAAGAGTAATACCATTACACCTATAAGTCATTGCATAAAGGTTTGTCATAGTGCACTAACTCTTTTGCCATCACTTTGCCTCCAAATGCAACTCTGCAGTTCTCTATTGTTGTTTAAAAGCCTGCGTAGCAAGAAGCAAGAAGGAATAAAAGTAGGTATAAAGGTCATGTCAAAGTTCATCTACAGTTTCTGGTCTTGAGGCCATGTAAGGAGGTAATCAGATGACCTAGTGGTGGGACCATGAAAGAAAAAACATCCATGTTGTCCAAGTGAAAAGGATTATTAATCACTCTTTGTAAATTGACTTTCATGCTAAAAGACTTCTGCTTCACCTCCATAGAACACAGCACCTATCTATGCAGATGCCTAATGTTGTGTCTGTCAGAGAAAATAAGAAGGCTGAAAGCACTGTGTGAAAGTCATGTACATGACTAGTTTTTTGTTCTTTGTATTGACACCAGTTGGAATTATTACTGAGATAACTGACTTGTACACTGGTGTAAGGAATTGAGAGTGTGCTGTGAAATGGCTCGCTACTCAGAAGTGCTTGAGATACTGTCTCTCAGCACAATGATCTGTTATCCAATAGATAAACAACTATGTATATGAGAGTCTTCTGAACAGGTTTTAAAGACTTCCCTTAGCTCAATGATGTTTGTATTCCTAATCACGTTTCCTAAAAATAAAAATGGTAGTGATGTTAATAAGAGGTTACATGTACAAAATAAAAATAACTTTGTAACCGAACCACACCATATTTGAAACAGTGAGATTTGGCATCCTGATGATGATCTGCAATTCACTCTTGTCAAGCCACGCTTGGAGAGTTTTCAATTAATTTCTCTTCCTTCACTTCCATACCTCTTATTTGTGGAGGGTCTCAGGAAGCTACCAAGGACTTGAGGGGGAGAGGGAATGGTTGTTTTCTATCAAGTTTAAAGTTAGCGGGGTAGCTTGGGAAATTACAGAATCACTGAATAGCTGAGGCTGGAAGGGACCTCTGGTGGTCATCTGGTCATCGGGATCACCTGGAGGAAAAAAGAAAAGCAACTAGATGGAACTAATTTTTTTAGCACTTGAGAAGGGAAACTGGGAAACAGCCAAAAGAATTCCTGGGTTTGTAATATTACCCTATAGAAAAGAAGGTTAAAAATAGCCATTAATTTGTTTGCATGGATTTGCTTCTAAAAATCTAAATAGTGAGAATGCATTACTTCGTATTATTTCAGTCAGTTGAGATTGGCAGGAAATAATTTTCTACCTGCTGTCCGACCTGAACTAACGTATGGCAGCCCTTGCATTCTCTTCTTCATGACTCAGTACATAGCTAGGAAAGGCGAATGTTTCTTAGAAATTGCTTCTCAACTGACTACACAGTTTATGTCTCAGCTATTTTATCTCCTGGGGTCTAAAGGTGTTGGGGGTGGGGGGAGGATGCAGTAGTATAGGCCTACACAAATTAACTTGGTCACTTATAGCAGGGTAGTGATGGCATGTAGAGCTTAGTGTGGCGATTTCATTAGTTATTTACCCAGATTTCCCAAGTAATTTTAACAGTCTGTGGTCAATCATGTGCTGCCATGGCCTCTTCTAACCTTTCTGTATTGTGTTTCTGGGCCTGCATGCTGTTTGAGTACCTCATCCCAGGTCAGACTTAGGCTTAGATATCATGGCATAGGGAACTCAAAGGAAACATTTTTAAAGACCTCAGTAATGAGGACTTTACCCCACATTACCTTTTTTGGAGGAAGAGTGATCTTTTAGAGTGGTTCTCATGATTTTTCCTGCAAAATTAGGTTGTCAACTCCAGAGAGGACTTCCCTTTTATCAAAAAAGATGATTTTATTAATATTAGAAATTCGCTCCTGAAGAAATGAGGAAAGACATGAACCAAAGCAAGTTCCACAGTATTGAAAGAAACACAAATTCAAAATCACATTTTTTCACATAAGCCTTCTCATTCCTAACATCTTTCTGGTGAAGCATTACTGATTTTGCAAAAGTGAAGAAGCAGATATATATCTATGATAAACTTTCTTGCCATTCTCACACTTTCTACTCTGGATTGGTGAGAGGTTTCTGGTCCTAGCAGATTAGCTAACTGTTCTTGTTATTCACCAGAAGTTTTCAATTCCTTACCCGACAACGCCTTTCCAGCAAAGTAAGGGTGAAAGTAGCATGTAATTGCTCCTTAGTCTAGTCCCTTTTTCTTTACATTCTGTTTGTGTTAGAATAAATGGAAATATCTAGAACAGAGTGTAATTAAACTGAATTTGATATAATTATCCATTAAAATATTTTCTGGTACTTTTTTTAAAAATTTCTTATGTGCATATTTGAAAGATACTTTTACAAATATGTAATTCTGTTGCAAGCATGAATTATGTGGTAGGTTGGGGGGTAAATGGGATATTCAAAAACACACTCTTGCAGGCTGTTGGATTTGATTTTCAGAGTTCACTTTATTTTCTGCTGTCACCCTAGCTGTTGAAGGACACATAATTCACTGGATTGAAAGCAAAGCCTCATTCGGTGATGAAAGTAGCCACCAAGCCTACTTGCAGGACCAGTTTTGGAGCTACTGGAACAGGTACATTTCTGTTATTTTTCCTTATAGATAAATAGGACTGCATTTTCAAAAGAAGTTACTGGAAAAAAACACTACTAACTTTTGTATTAAGCCATGTGAACAAAATACATGTTACTAATCTGGCATTTTGAATGTCATTAATTAGTATGTCAAGTTGGAATGCTGAAATATTTGTGAAGAATTCACATCATAATTGGTAACATGCAGCAGATATATATGGTGATTTTACAATGATGCTAGATGACAGAATAAGTTACTTTGGCACAGAAGTTATGTGACAATTTTTTTAGTACCTGACTTTGAAGGAAGATTTTGCTGTAACATTTTGTAACACGTGCAAGGTGCCAAATTTGCTATAAAATCTGCACAAACCAAGTGGGCTTTGTGTGTAAAGAACTTTACTGCTCCTTGTCATTGTATCTAGGACAATATTGTTTCACTGTTTGGGGTTTTTTATGAAGTAATTTTTTAATGTTATTTATGTTTTAAACAGTAATAACAATTATCTTGAAGGTAAGAAAATGTAGTAAGTATTTGTAGGAACATGAGGAGGGAAATGAGTTACGCCAGACAGAATTTTTTAACGTGTTGATAGTATTGGTATAAAGATCTTTTCTTTTAAAGATGGTTAAAATAGTTTTGCTTTATTCTTATACAGGTCATTATTGTATATATTTATGTACCTTTCCATGGTACTAGAAGCCTCATTTCTCTTCCAAAAAAAATCCTAAACAAGGTGCTTTATCTTCAATTCTACTTTTTATGTGGTGGAACCCTAAGCAAGGCAAGGTAGTGAGTAAGTGAGATAAATGGAAGTTGTAATTAAGGATTTTTAAAAGCATAAATTTAGAAGTCTTTAGTGTTCACAAGAGAGCATCAATAAAATCTGAGGGATAGTGGAGAAGATGGCACAAACGCGTGAACGTGCAACAAATAGACAACGTGTGCCAACACCAGAGGCTAGTCTGGTGACTGTTAGTATTTCAGTTAAATATGGGCAATGCCGGGGTGAAAATAGCTAGCCTTAGCTTGGGAAATACGTTAAAGGCAGATTCTATGGGAGGCAGCAGAGAAAGGGAGACCAAATCTTGAGAATAACATTGTCAGAGTTCGGAATTATGCTCTGCAGCAACGTTCTTGATAACCATGAGAAGGACCTGCTCTTATTTGACGTTCCCAGAAAGCAGTAACTTGGAAAAATTGAATCAAGGTAATGGGAACCTCAGGAAGACTGTCAGTTGTTCGATAACGATACTATACTACAGGAAATTGGTAGAAATGAGTTTGTGAAGCTTATAACCAGAATACAAGACTTAAAAAGAAATTTGAGTATATACAATATCTAGGCAAATGGTGAGAATGGCAGGAAAGAATCTGATGCAAATGGTGCTGAACTTGCACATCAGCGTAAGTAAGAGGAGATGGAGCAGCTCAGGCTGGGAGGAGGCCATTAGATGTACTGACTGATATCTTTTCTGAGGAGAAAGGATGCATTTGAAGGGATCCATGATGGTATCAGAAAAAGCAGCTCCAAGAAGTGAATTCTAAATAGATAACATGAGCACACAGATACTAAGTTGAGATGAGGTGAAAGTTGAGCAGACAAGTAGGTTGAAGGCACTGATCTTTTTGTTTGCAGTAAAATTGCTATTGCAAAGGTGAAGTTGTAGTTTCTGCCTTTTTTTGTGCTGAACAAAATGACTATCCACGTTTTGGTTTGAACTATAAAATGTGTAAAATATTTGAGAATATTGTGTACTATTTGAATCTGACATTTCCGAGAGAAACTTCTCTTATGCTTTTATCAGGAAACCAAGACATAGCTAACTTTGTTTTAATTTTATCATGTACTAATTAATATCGCAACTTCAAAAATGGAATTAAATCTCTCACTGAGCTGTTAATCAAGTACCTTTAATGTTGCAAAAGCTACTCTGGATTGATATGTGTATCAATAAGACTGTTTTGGAAGTAGCTTTGAGATTTTGCCAAATCTTCTGTTATAGCTGTTCATATTGAAAACAACTACAAAAATTGTTGATTCTTAAATATAGTGACTTTATATTCATATAAAGGAAACTAGAAATCTCCTTAGTGAGATTTGTGACTGCCCAAATCCAGAATTTAGTGATAGCTTAAATACGGAAATTAGGCAGATTTCTCTGGGTTTTTTTTAAAGAACGAATCCTGTTAGTTTTAATTTTGCTTGGTCAAACTAACAGTATCACAACATCTTCTGAAATGAATTCTGAGTTACTTCAGCTTCTTCTAATTTGACAATTGGGTTAGTAAACCCTTGTTGGCAGATAAGGTTGCATTTAGGTGAGACAGTTAACTTTTCATTGCTCTCTGAAAGGACACAGGTGTAGCTGCACAAACTGTGAATCAATTTTGTATGATTTAATCAGCCTATTCATGGATCTCTCAAGTCAATTCACTGCACCTGTGTGTCTCCTTTCCTCTTGAAGGAGGAATCACTTGGAGAAGCATCAGCAGTTCACAAGAGACATGTCATGACACTCAGCTGATAGTTTAGGGTTTTGTAAACCTGATCTGTTGGTTGAACTTAAAGCCAAAGTGAAATTGGAGAGAAAACCTGTAACATCACCTGTTAGATGTGGATAGAAGTATGTGTCTAGATACTTTAAAAGGAATGAAGGTGAGAGGTTTTAGACCTTTTCCATACAGCTTTTTTATTGTTTGCTTGAAAAGTAGGAGTGAAACTGGAAAAGTTTCTAGGTTTTTTCCCCCATGTCTGTCATAGATGTAAGTTTAATTCTGCACACAATCTGACTGAAGGCTTTGAACGTAGCTGTGGTTTGGTTGCTGTTATGTGTGTATTTCATTAAATCCTGTACTCTGTGCTAACTAAGTCTGTGAGTGTCTTAAATTGGTCTGTACTGACAGGAAAGAAATGGCACTTTCTCATTTAACAGAACAGCTCCCTAGATGCAGTCAACCATGTCTGTTCACCTCGGTGCAAAAGAACACCTTTTTATTACTCCGAGTTCTGCAGGGACAGCTTAGCAAGGTTTTTTATGGCTCATACATCAATGGTATTGTTAAGCAATTTTCAGTTGCAGTGCTGCACTGCAACCTCATCTTCAAATTAAGCTTCACATTAAAAATGTACAAAGTGTACCTTGTCAGTGGGTTTGCACAGTTGTAATTTAAGGTGCTGTTTAGATATTGAGAATTTTCAATAATAAAAAAACAGGAAAAGGCAAGTTTGGTCTTGCATATTCCCAGACTGATTTTGCAGAGTGATGTTTTAGAAAAAAGCTATTTTATATACTGAACAAACTTAGTGTAAAATGATTCATGTACTTGCAGAATCTCTTCCCTCAATATGTTTGTTCCTTCAAAGTGGTGCCATCCACTGAGCAGGCTATAGCTTTCACTGCCACTGGGTAAACAAGACAACTGCATGTGCAAAATATAATTGCTTTGTGCATGTGTAGTAGATACCACACTTTTCGTTGTTCACTGTCCTACATTGATGTATTTCTTGTAACCATGAGAATAAAAACTGTTGAATAGTCTATGTGACCAAAGGTAATTTGGAGAGCATGAGCAGGATGTAACACAGATTGTAGTTTAAAACAGGGTCTGAGAACATGCTGTAAATTATTTTAGGATTTAAATGAATGCTGCTGTTTCTTTTTTTCTCCTAGTGTCTAATTTTGTATTTTTTTTCTAACTTAAATTAAAAATTGGAGTCCTGGCTGTAAAAGTCTGTTAGTCAGAGCTGATAGGCATGACTCCTGTTTTCTAAGAGGCATATAGAGATCAGCAACACACGGTTTGAATAGTAATTAGTGGGTGCACTGTCAGTGACTTGCTGTAAGAAGATATAAACTCAAATACAGTAATTTACATTTCCTATCTTCTGCAAGCCTGGCGAAGGCATATGTACGTTCTAGAATGTAATTTCTGGAGAGTCCCAGGAGAAAGCTTGACGCCATTATTAGCTAAAGAAACTTTACTATATGTGAGGAAGACCGTAGGAAAATGTCATATTTGACACTGATATTAAACTAAAGGTAATTTCGCACAGTGAAAGAGAAGCATTTCATCTTCTCTTTGAATAAGAATGGTAAGTCATCCCTGTACTAAATTCCTTCCCCCATTTGCTTGTATTCTAAATGTTGTTAGTCCTGTGCTTCTGCTTTTTTGAAAGAATAAATAGAAGCAAGTTTCCCATAAGGAATTTTAAAAGGGAGCCTAAATTCATGATTAAATGTGTTGTTAATTAATACATTATGTCTGATCTTGAGACTTCCATTTATAAATAACAGTTATAGTAAAATTATCAGAGTCCTGTAGATTAGAAAAGGTATTTATTTCAGATAAACGTGAACAGAAACAATGCAAAGGATTGTATTTCAGTCACAAACAAAGTCGATGTGTTCTTAGGATTTCTTGGGAAGAGTGTTCTGTTCAAATTCATTTGTACTTGACTGTAACGATGAATCATATGTGAGCAAAGGCTGAATCAGAACATCAGAACAATATGCTTTTTTTTTCTGTTCAGCTGTTTAAAATGGTTTGACATGTAACTGTGAAGACTGTTTAAGTAATAATTGCTGTCTGATTGTAGGTGGTTGGGGAAGAGGGAGTTATGCCGTATTTTTATGGATGTCTGTTCTATACCAAGATCAATATTCTCCAATTGCAAATGGTTTAAAAAGTTGTACTGGTGAGTTGAAAACCAGTAGTATAACAACTTGACTTGGAGGAAACCTTGGGAGTTGCATTTGTCAAGTGGCTAGGAAAACTGTTCATGCATACCCTGTATCCAAAGCTTCATTGGCAGCCCAAACATAAAGAACTGAAAGGTCATTCTTCTTCTTGCAGTATGATGGTTTGTTGACATATTTTGACACACTGGTACAATGCTGAAAGGTTTTGACCTTCCTGCAACACTGAGGGACTTAGGGTTTGTTTAGCTTGTAGATTTTCACACATGCTGGGTTTTACTCTGCTCCCTCCTGGCTCCA